TGCATTGTCATAAGAATCCAGGCGAAGTTCTTCCAATTCTTGTAATTGGAGCTTCCTATGTACACCGGCCTCGTCAAGATTGAGGTTGAATTCTTTAACCGCCCAATATGACTTGTGTTCGAGCTCTACAGGGAGATGACATGCTTTCCCAAACACAAGTCTATAAGGAGACATACCGATTGGGGTTTTGTAAGCAGTTCGGTATGCCCATAACGCATCATCAATGCGTATACTCCAATCCTTCCTGTTCGGGTTCACTGTTTTCTGGAGTATAGATTTCAACTCCCTGTTTGAGGTTTCCGCTTGGCCATTTGTTTGAGGGTGGTAGGCTGAAGAAATTTTGTGAGTCACACCATATTTTTTCAGTAGGGATCCCACAGTTTTATTGCAAAAATGTGTGCCTCGGTCGCTAATTAAAATTCGAGGGACCCCGAACCTTGAAAATATGTGTGATTTGAGAAAACTAGCCACCACCTTGGCATCATCAGTTTTTGTTGCTTTGGCCTCCACCCATTTGGAGACGTAGTCTACTGCAAGAAGGATGTATATGTTACCTTGGTAATTTGGGAATGGTCCCATGAAGTCGATACCCCATGCATCGAAAATCTCACAGAAAAGCATGGGGTTTTATGGCATCTCGTTCCTCCTGGAAATGTTGCCCGCTCTTTGGGAATTGTCACAAGATCGAAAAAAGCCGTGTGCATCCCGAAATAGACTCGGCCACCAAAAACCGCTTTCGAGTATTTTCATTGTTGTTCGTTTCGGGCCGAAATGTCCTCCACAAGCATAGGAGTGACAAAACTCTATGATGTGGGCTATCTCATATTCAGGGATGCATCTTCGGATTATTTGATCCTTACAATGCTTCCACAAATATGGGTCATCCCACACATAGAGTCTTGAATCCATTCTTAATTTTTCTTTTTGAGATTTTGAGAGTTGTGGAGGAAATTTGCCGGAAACGAGGAAGTTCACGATATTTGCGTACCATGGTTTGTGTGATTTTGATGGAGAAGAGAGTTTCGTCCGGGAATTCTCCTTTGATGAGATTTGTGTGGAGGTCTTCGATGTCTTTGTGAGGAATGAGGCGGCTTAAATGATCGGCCACCAAATTCTCCGCTCCTTTCTTGTCTTTGATTTCCACAGCAAACTCACTCAATAGAAGGACCCATCGAATGAGTCTTGGTTTGGCTTCTTTCTTTGTCATAAGGAATCGAAGAGCGGCATGGTCGGTGTAGACAATAACTTTCGTTCCAAGAAGGTAGGAACGAAACTTTTCCAAAGCAAAAACCACCGCTAGCAATTCCTTCTCGGTGGTGGAGTAGTTCTTTTGGGCGTCGTTGAGGGTTGATGAGGCGTATTAGATGACATGGGAGGCTCTTCCAACTTTCTGGCCCAAAACAGCCCCCACCGCATAGTCACTTGCGTCGCACATGATCTCAAAAGGAAGAGACCAGTCGGGAGCCTGTATGATCGGTGCAGTCCCCAATCTTGCTTTCAGAGTGTCAAAAGCCTCTTTGCATTCATCGTTTAGATTAAATTCCACCTCCTTTTGTAAAAGTTTGCAAAGAGGAGATGAGATTTTTGAGAAATCCTTGATGAATCTCCTATAGAAACCGGCGTGACCGAGGAAAGAGCGGATGTCCCGTACATTTGTGGGGTACGGGAGCGTTTGAATCACATCGATCTTTGCTTTGTCCACCTCGATCCCCTTTGATGAGATCACATGCCCAAGAACAATCCCTTGTTCTACCATGAAGTGGCATTTTTCAGAGTTCAGCACAAGGTTGGATTCAATGCAACTCTTTAGCACAAGAGTGAGGTGATAGAGGAAAGAGTCAAAAGAGTCCCCATGGATTGTGAAATCATCCATAAAGACCTCCATGAATACCTCCACAAATTCTGAAAAGATGCTCATCATGCACCTTTGAAAGGTGCCCGGTGCGTTGCATAATCCAAAGGGCATTCGTCGGTAAGCAAAAGTGCCAAATGGACATGTGAAGGTTGTTTTCTCTTGGTCCTCCGAGGCTATTGGTATTTGGAAATACCCGGAGTAACCATCGAGAAAACAATAGAACTTGTGCCCTGCTAACCTCTCTAGCATTTGATCAATAAAAGGCAATGGAAAGAAGTCTTTCCTAGTCACCGAATTGAGTCTTCGGTAGTAAATGCAAACTCGCCACCCGTTTTGAATTCGGGTGGGCACCATCTCGCCATCCTTGTTTTCAATGACCGTTACTCCGGTTTTCTTTGGTACCACTTGAGTAGGACTCACCCACTTGCTATCAGAAATGGGGAAGATGATTCCCATTTGAAGCAATTTGATTACCTCCTTTTTCACCACCTCCATCATGGGTGGGTTCAATCTTCGTTGCGGTTGTCTCACCGCTTTGGCCTCATCTTCGAGCAAGATCCTGTGCATGCATGTGGATGGACTAATGCCTTTGATGTCGGCAATAGACCATCCAATGGCAAATTTATATTCCTTCAAGACCGCGATCAATCTTTCTTCTTGTTCTTGGGACAGGGCATTTGAAATAATCACCGGTAGGGTGTGATTTTCACCCAAGAACACATGCTTCATATTTTCAGGGAGTGGTTTTAATTCCACCTCCGGTGCCTGCAAAACAGATGGTAGCGGCTTCTCGCTTGGAATGGTTAGTGGGAGGGATTTAGAGCCCGGTGGAAAAAGTGGGAGTTGATTTAACTCCGCCACCATAATCTTCATGTTATTTGACATAGAGTATTCCAATGTAAAATCCTCTATGTCGTTTTCTATTGCGCTTAGTGCTTCATCCTTGCCCTCAATTTCAAATACATCTTGGACCCAAGTGTCACAAGTGTCAATCGCAAATAGAGAGTGATTATCAGTGGGGTATTTCATGGAGTCGTAGATATTAAATTCGACTTTTTCACCATCGAACTCCATGGTTAACACTCCATTAAAGACGTCAATTTTTGCCTTAGCCGTTTTCAAAAAGGATCGGCCTAGTAAAATTGGGACTTCATTTTTATCTTTCTCCATTTCAAGAACGTAAAAATCAGCGGGAAAGATTAAATTATCCACCATGACGAGAACATCCTCTACCACACCTTTTGGGTAGGTATTGGATCTATCGGCAAGTTGGATAACGACCCCCGTCTCATGTAAAGGTCCTAGTTCTAGGAACTTATATAGAGAATATGGGATGACATTGATTCATGCACCCAAATCTAACATATCCCTAGAAGAACTAGAATTTCCAAGTTTACATGGTATAGTGAACATTCCCGGATCACTATACTTTTTAGGCAGTTTCTTTTGAAAAACGGCCGACACTCTTTCACTTACTTGGATTTTATGCTTGCCATTCAACTTGTGTTTCCTTTTAATTGTGCAAAGTTCTTTTAAAAACTTTGCAAACCTAGGAACACCTTTTATTAAATTGAGAAGAGGGATATTTACCTCACATTTGCTGAAGGTCTCATAGATGTCTTTGTCATTGTTGTATTTCCGGTTATCCTTGAGAGCCTCCGGAAAAGGTGGCACCGGCTCATATGAGTTGAGCGGTGGGAACTTTCTTTGAGGTGTGATTTCCTCCTCCTTTTCTTCTTCATTTTGAGGGTTTGTGCTTGGCATCAAGATCTCCTCCTCCTCTTCTCCCACATGGCTCTTTGCTTTCGCCTTAGCCATAACCAACTCTTTGCCACTTCTCAAAATGACCGCATGAGCTTGTTGCCTCGGGTTCGGCTCCATTTGAGATGGGAGTTTTGCCGAATCCCTAGCTTCTAGCCTACTCACGGCGTTTGAGATTTGGCTCATTTGGCTTTCCAAATTGTGGATGCTAGACTTTGTGGTTTCTTGAAATTGGGCCACACTTTGTTGCATCGTAGTCATATTCATGGCTAATGCTCGAATCATGTCTTCGGTGGACATGCTTGAGTTCGATGTTTGGCCTTGTTGTTTAAATTGTTGAGGAGGGGGAGGGTTTGTTTGTTGAGGGGGTTGAGGGTTTCCGTACCTTAGATTTGGATGATCCCTCCATCCTGGATTGTAGGTGTTGCCGTGAGGATCGTACCTCCTTTAGCCTTGAAACCCCAAAGCATTGACTTGCTCGGAGTTCTCCTCTTGTAAAGTTGGGCAAGAATCTGTGGGATGCCCTTGTGTTGAACAGATGCCGCAGACCTTGACTTCTTGGGTTTTTGGATTCAAAAGGAAATCTTTAACCAAAGAAGTCAAGCCGGCTACTTGACTCTCCAACGAGTTGTTGGATTCCGCTGCCATAACTCTCTTTGTTGATCGCCGATCATAGTGTCTACAATTTTCGGCCAACTCCGAGATAAGATTCCTAGCTTGAGAAGGAGTTTTATTGAATATTCCTCTTCCACATGCAGCATTGATCATCCGTCTATCATCATCGCAAAGACCATCATAAAAGTAAAGGATGAGGTCTTGCTCCGAGTAGCCGTGATACGGACAGCTCCACATTGCTGATTTGTTTCTTTAAAGATGAGGAGATGGAGGCGGGATAATACCTTTCGAGGAAGCTCTTCTTCATGGCCGCCCAAGTGTCTATGCTTCCCGAGGGAAGATAGAATAGCCAATCTTTGGCGGTGTCTTTGAGGGAGAATGGGAAAGCCCTCAACTTAATTTGCTCCTCGGTAACACCGTTCGGGCACATGCTTGTGAAAACGATGTGGAACTCCGAAAGATGTTTATTCGGATCCTCTCCTCTTAGCCCGTGGAAAGATGGAAGTAGATGTATTAGTCCAGATTTCAACTCAAATGTAGCACCCGCATCAAGAGTTGGGAAGGTGATACATAAGGGTTGTTGATTTAGATTGGGGGCTGTGAGCTCCCTCAGAGTTCTTGTTTCAAGAGCCATTGATATTGACTCCTCGGACTCGCTAGATTGAGAACTAGCACTTGAGGATTCCACCGAGTCGGTATTTGAGAATTTATTCTTTAACCGCTCGAGAGCTTTTTCTATTTCGGGGTTTGTTTGGTAGGTGAGTTGGTTTATGGATCGGGTTTTTACCATATACTCAAACAAAGCTCAGCAAAAATAGAAAACTTTATATATTATTATTTTTTTTGATTTTTTCTTTGAAATAAAATAAAAAGAAAAATTAATTGCCTTTCCCCGGCAACGGCGCCAAATTTGACGAGCACTTTGTCACGGTGCGTCAAAATAATTTTCAATACTAAACACTTATACGTAGTATAGCGTAGTAGAGTTCGTATCCACAGGGAAAGGAATGATTTTCTTTCTATGAAACTAGTAATAAAAAAGGGGGTTTTGGTTTTGAGTGATTTAATTCAATTAAGAAACTAAGATGAACAACCTATATGTGTTTAATTCAAGAATAAAAGGGACTTGGCTTTGCTACTTTCCACTTGTTGATATATTTTAGTTGAACTTCTTGTTAAAAACTTCTTGTTCTATAACTATAAATGGAACTGACCCGACCGGGTTCAAGGTCTGACCCGGTCGGGTTTTTGTGCTCCTGGGTCTTTTTTCTTCAGTTTTTCTCCCTTTTTCCTTGCTACAAACTCTATCACTATTCTAAAACTCCGAAAAGAAGGAGAGAACAATTACAAACAAAATAAAACAAGTACTTACAAACTAACTAAAAGTGATGGAAAATCCACACTCAATCAACATAAAAACATACGTTTATGCACTATAAACTAGTGCATATCACGGGTGCATGTCAAAATCAAATATCCTCCACGTTCTGGTGATCTTCGGCATGTTAAAGTGTCCCGGGTCAAGTCAGACCTGACCAGGTGAGGTAGGGGACCCGACCGGGTGAGTGCACTTTCCAGGCACTTACGGTTGTTGAATCAGACCCGACCGGGTTCAGGGTCTGACCCGGCCGGGTTTTGTGCTCCTGGCTCTTTTTTGCCTTCAGTTTTTCTCCCCTTTTTCTTGCTAAATTCTTGTTCTATAACTATAAATGGAAGCTATAAACAATTACAAACACAGTTAAACAAATGTCTACAACTGCATACAAATGGTAAAGAATCCACACAAATCAAATATAAAACAAACATTTATGCACTACTAATTAGTGCATATCAATGGTTGTGCTGATGGGGGCATAATTGACTGCTGGTCTTCCGAGGGCTTTCTGAAAGTGTTCACAGGCGGTGCACCTTCGAGCGAGGTCCGCACAATCTCGTGCCATCGTGGGCCAGAAGTAACCCTTAACTATGAGCCTTCGGGACATGGAGAAGGGTCCCTGGTGAGCTGAGCAAGTGCAACTGTGCACTTCCTCCATTGCAACTTCGGCTTCATCCTGATGAAGGCACCAGAGTAACGTGTCGTTGTAGGATCGTTTGTAAAGCATCCCGTCTTCGATGGTGTAGCTGGGAGCCCTCAGCATTGCCAGCTTTGCGCGGGTTTCATCCTCGGGAAGGTGCCCTGTGGAGATGAAGTTCATGATGTCTGAAACCAAGTCCTCAGGCCTTTGTTGTATGTTCATGACGGGGATGGCTTGTATGCTTGAGAGCTGAGTTCCTCAATTCTCGCAATCTTCGAGAGGTGCTCCGAGGACTCGTCCGAGAGCCTTGATAAAATATCGGCCTCAGAGTTTTGAGCCATCGGTATTTGGGTAAGAGAGTGTGCCTCAAATACCTTAAGTAACTCCTTGGCCGCTTCCTTGTACTGTTTCATTCTCCCTTCCTTGGCTTCATACTCCCCTGAAATCTGGCCGACGACTAACTTGGAGTCACACTTCACATGGATCTGTCTGGCCTTCATATTAGCGGCCAGCCGAAGGCCACCGAGGAGGTCTTCATACTCTGCTTCGTTGTTGGAGACTTTGAAGGAGAAGCGGATGGCATAGTAGGCGCGGAAGCCTTCGGGAGTAATGAGAACTACCCCTCCTCCGCATGTTTTGGTGGCTGAGGAGCCATCGGTATAGAGGGTCCACCATTTATTCGAGGGTGCCGAGGGCTCCTCACCCACTGCTGCTCTTGTCGTGCATTCCATCACGAAATCCGCCAGGGCTTGGCCCTTTATGGCAGGCCTCGGACGGATGTCAATGTTGTATTGGCTAAGGAAGATAGCCCATTTTACCAATTGGGAGGAGCTGGTGGGGCTCCTCATCAAAGCGCCGAGGGGTTGGTGTGTGAGGACCTGGACCGGGTGAGCTTGGAAGTAATGGCCCAACTACTTGACGGTCCAAACGATGGCTAACACCGTTTTCTCCACAGGAGAATATATGAGTTCCGCCTCCCTAAGAGTCTTGCTAACATAGAATATGGCATGTTGGACGTCGTCTTCCTCCCGGATTAGCACTGAGCTGATGGCAGCAGGGCTAACGCCAAGGTAGAGATATAAAGTCTCCCCCACCTTGGGTTTGGAGAGCACAGGGGGTGAGGACAAGTACCGTTTCAATTCGTCGAAGGCCTCTTGGCATTCTGACGTCCATTGGAAGCCAGCGGTTTTCCTCATGATTTGGAAGAAGGGAAGGGACTTCTCTGCCGACTTGGACAGGAAACGGTTGAGGGCTGCCAGGCGGCTCGTCAACCTCTGGACTTCTTTGACGTTACGTGGGGGCTCCATGTTGATGATCGCTTGAATTTTCTCGGGGTTGGCCTCAATACCCCTTTGGCTCACCATGTAGCCCAAGAACTTGCCTCCTTGTACGCTGAAGGTGCATTTCTTCGGGTTTAGTCGAAGGTTGAACTTTTGCATGATGGTGAACATCTCCCGGAGGTCGTCAGCATGGCTTGTTGATTTTTTGCTCTTGACGATCATGTCGTCGACATAGGCCTCCATGGTGCGCTCTAGGACGTCTTGAAAGACCCTAGCCACCATCCGGGTGTAAGTGGCGCCTGAGTTCTTTAGGCCGAAGGCCAGGACTAGATAACAGAAGATGCCTTCGGGAGTCATGAAGGCTGTTTTTTCAGCATCTTCCTCGTGCATGAAGATTTGGTGATATCCGCGGAAGGCGTCGAGGAATGACATGATTTCGCATCCCGCCGTTTCATCCACCAGTTGGTCAATATTTGGCAGCGGGAAAGGGTCCATGGGGCACGCCTTATTCAAATCCATGTAGTCCACACACATGCGGATGGTGGGCGGCTTTTGTGCGAGGACTACGTTAGCAAGCCATGAGGGGTACTTCACCTCCTTGATGTGTTTGATGGAGAGGAGCATGGCAACCTCCTTCTTCACAAAATCCCTCCTCTCGGCCGAGAGGGGTCTTCTTCTCTGTTGCACAGGTTTGGAGGAAGGGTCCTCCACGAGGCGGTGGGTGATAACCCTTCGACTGATGCCCGGCATGTCCTCCGGCCCCCATGCAAAAACAATGGAGTAGGCGCGGAGGCAATTCGTGATGCCGGTCTTCAAGTCTTCAGGGAGCTTGGCTCCTATCTTCACGACTCTCTCCGGCTTGGCCGGATCGAGCACAAAGTCTTCTACCTCCTCAGCTGGTTCAGCCCTCGGCCTCTTCTCTTCTTCCTTAAATGTCCCGGTGATGGTGTCTACCTGGAACTCATTCTTACTAACCTTCTTCGTTATCTGAAGATAGCAGGCGCAGGCAAGCTTTTGGTTCCCCCTCGAGTACCCGACGCCTCCTTCAGCTGGGAACTTGAGACATAGGTGCCTCATGGAGGTGATAGCCTCCAGGTCCTCGAGGGTGGGGCGGCCGAGGATGATGTTGTGGGCGCAGTCAATGTTGACGACGACGAACTCCACTTCGAGCTTGGCCCTAGGGAGCCCATCGCCGAAGAGTACCGGGAGGGTTATCACCCCCTAGGAATCTATGGTGTCTCCGGTGAAGCCGGACAGGGGGGTCCGGATGGGCCGAAGGCAACTCTTCTCTAGGTGCAGCTCCTTGAATGTGCTGAGATACATTACGTTGACGGAGCTGCCTGTGTCAACGTAAGTTCGATGGATGATGGTGTTATTGATCTCGCTTTGGATCATTAACGCATCCCTATGAGGAGAGGAAACCGGGGGGAGATCGGCGTTGGTAAACATGATGGGCTCCTCTCTCATCCGCTTTACGGGGGGTATGTGAGTGACTTCCCCCACATAAAGCGATTGTGCCCACTTCTTTCTTTGGCCAATGGAGTCTCCCCCCGTGTTGCCCCCGCTAATCATGAGGATGTGGCGTTTCTTCTCCTGGTACTGGTTGTACTCCTCCTCCTCATCGAGATTCCCGATCTCCTGTTTCTTACCCTTCGGGTCACCGAGGGGAATGGTGTTTGGGTTAACCCAAGCATTTGCCCTCGCCGGAGGTCCTAGCGGGGGCCCTTGAGGCTGAGGGCCCCTGACAAATTGGGACAGATGACGCGCCTCTATAAGCCTCTCGATGGCTGCCTTCAGCTGGTTGCAGTCATCGGTTCTGTGCCCTTGGTTGCGATGGAAGCGGCAGTATGGCTCATTGGGGTTGACGGCGTATACCTCCAAGGGTGCGCGAGAGTCGTGCTCCACGAGGCCTCTCTCCTCGGCGTAGTTCAGGATGACGCTGATGGGCTGTGTGAGGGGGGTCCGAGGGTTCTCCAGAAGGATGGGCTGCGCCCAGGCCTTCGGGTTATTCTTGTAACCTCCCCCGGGTTTGGCTTGGCCGTGCCGGGGGCGATCACCCGAGGGGGACGGGCCTTTGGAATGATGGAATGGAGCTCCCGGCCCCTGGTGATTTTTATCATTTGCCCTCAGCCGTTGCTGCTCGGGGTTTTTTGGTGGAATTTTTCCACCTCCTCAGCCTCCGCATACCGGTCTCCCCGTTGGAGGGCCCTTATGTAATCACGAGGGGGCTCGATAATGAGGCTCCTCGAGAAGTTCCCGGTGCGGAGGACTGTCTGTAGGCGAGCCAAAAGGGTCCATCATCGGTGCCGTCAACCTTGTCTGTCTCCGCCCTCCAGCGTTCCAAGAAGTCTCGGAGGGTCTTCTCCTTCCGCTGTCTCACCGTTAGTAGGTGGGAGAAATGTTTCCTTGATCGACGCCTTCCCGCAAACTGTGTCAAGAAGCGTTGGGCGAGCTCTTGCGACGAGTCAATGCTACCTTCGGGCAATCGGTTGAACCATTCGTACGCTGGTCCTTCTAAGGTGGAAAGGAACCAACGACACAAATATTCATCTGATGCCCGTGGCCATCATCATGCTGTTTTGGTATCTGCTGTAGTTAGGGCAGAGCACGGGTCGGGTTCGGGCGGGTCGGGTTCAAAAATGGTGAACCCGTTCGGATATCGGATTGATAATTTCAAACCCTACCCTATCAAAAACTTTATCGGGTTTTTCGGGTTGAAGTAGTTCAGGTTGCGGTCGGGTTGATTCGGTTTTCGGGTCCATTCGGATTTTAATTTATTATTGTTGAAATTGTGATAAATAAAATGGTAATTGGTAAAAATATCATTCAAAGTTATACTAGTATAACATTCAAAGTAATAGTTGTATAAATACGGTAATCGACATATTTGAGTATGTAAAATAATAATATATGGTGATTGACATATTTGATATTGTGATAAATAAAATGATAATTGGTCAAAATATCATTCAAAGTAATAACAATACAACATTCAAAGTTATAGTTGTATAAATACGGTAATTAGAATATTTGAACATGCATAATATGATAATTGGCATACAATAATTGAGATTTTTTTTAAACCCGGAAGGTAAACCACCAAAATAAGTGGGGCAAACGCCGGGGAACGTTTGCCAGATTTTATTAATAGATGTAAAAAAATAAAATAGAGAGGGGGACCAAACCAAAACCTCTCCTTAGAGGCATACCTCTAAAAGAACATGATACAATACTAAAAGATAAAAAAAAATTGGGGGGGCTTGACCTGACCCAAAAATTAAAATACACGAAATTTAAAACGCAAGGCTGGAATATAAAAGAGGTCTCCATAATAGCTATTTTTAACATCTTTTGGCAAATTACCTACCTGATCAAATAAAACAATTTGGGCCGAGCCCAGGTTCTTACCTGCAAGCAGATGGGCCGGACCGTTCCCTTCTCGAAATACATGTTCGAAAGAAAACCTTCTGAGTGTTGCCTTTCTCCTGAAATCAGCACAGTTGCCTGAATCATCCAAAATAAAGGAGATCGCCCTAGCCGCATCACTCTCTACCTGAACATCTGCGAAACCAGCTTCCATAATCATTTCTGCTGCGAAAATCAGCGATTGCAACTCAGCCTCCTCGCTGGACGCCGCTTGAAGTCTGAAGGACATAGCCCATACCAGTTCTCCCATCCGATTCCGAAGAATAGCTCCTCCCGAAGCACAGCCAGGTTTGAACGAAGCATCTACGTTCAATTTGTAGTTTTGTTTAGGTGTTTTCCACTTGACAACCTGAATAATAGAGTAATTAAACTTAAACCTTAACGGAATAAAGTTTTCAGTGTACAAAAAATCTTCCACCCTTCTGCGTTTTATCTTTGTTAAAGTTGAAGCCCATTTCTGAGTATAGAACTTGATTTGTAGAATAATGTAATCTGGACTTGGTATAGAACCCGAACCCCAAGTGTATGAAGAAAAAACCTTCCAAATGTGCCATGTAATAATGCCAGGCAAAATGTGCTTAAAAATATCTGCCATTGATTTTGAACCTGCCTCAATCCACCATAGTATAAGAACTTGCCTAATTGAAGTTGTGTTAGGCATGAGGATATCAAAATTCCCCATAAAGTATTGCCATATGAACTTGGTGTATGAACAATTAAAGAAGATATGGTCAGTAGTTTCATAATTCCTCCTACAAAGGGGGCACCTTGATGGGTTGACAGTCAAATGAAACCTCTTAAGATTGTCACCAATGGGTAGAAAAGAGTTAAGAAGCTTCCAAAGAAAAACTTTGATCTGCATAGACTGATACTTATGCCATATATGTTTATCAGTAAATGTAACTGATTTTTTGTTTCTGATTTCCTTGTAAGCAGATGCCAGAGAGAAGTTACCATGAATACCAGGGTCCCATTGCAATGATCCAGAAGAATTCTCTGAACAAAGGTTAATAGCTACTTCATGTATCTCACAAATTCTTCTCCAAACATTAGAATCAGAAGTTTTTGGCCTCATATCCTCTCCTCTAGGGTATCTTATTTTAATGAAAGAAACCCAAAGAGATTTCTGAGTTTTCCATTTCCACCATAACTTCAGTGAATAAGCTGTTTGAACATCATTAAGTCCTCTAATCCCTAACCCTCCTTCTTCAGTAGTATAGCATACCTTTGACCATTTGACCCAATGGTATTTCTTTCTGGTTGATGAAGATCCCCAAAAGAAAGAGGCCATTTTTTTCTCCAAGGTAGTTATGACCTTTTTAGGAAGCTTAGCTGTTGCAAAGATATAATTAGGGATGGTATTCAATACATATCTAATCAATACAAGTCTGCCACCTTGGGAAAGATTTTTCTGTTTCCAGGATGATAGCTTTGAATCAAAATGTTCTATAATTTGAGAACAATATTGAAACATGTTCATCCCTTTATGCAGGTGAGAACCTAAATATTTCATTGGCAGAGAGGTTTTCCTCATTCCCAGGATATTTTTTATAGTTGTGGATCTGTAAGTAGCTCCCTTCCCTGTAATAAAACTGCTCTTCTCTAAATTAACAGTTTGGCCTGAGGCAGCTTGATAATCATTAATAAACCTTTTAAACTGTACCAAAGACCTGGAATCTCCATTTGTAAAAACCAAAAGGTCATCTGCAAATCCAAGATGACTGATGGGGAACCCTTTACAGCCTAACCAGAATGGCTTAATATAGCCCTTCTCCATTCTAACTTTTAAGCTTCTTGAAAACCCTTCAGAGGCAATGATGAAGAGGAATGGAGAAATAGGGTCTCCTTGTTTTACCCCCCTTTTTGGTTGGCAGAAACCATGAGGACTCCCATTTATCAAAATAGAAAAGTAGGTGGATTGTAAATTGTTTTTAATGAGAGAAACAAACTGATTTGAGAAACCAAATCTATCCAAAACCCCATATAAGTAGTTCCAAGAGAGCTTATCAAATGCTTTGGCCATATCCAACTTAATGACCACATTTGATCCTATGACTTTCTTATCAATTGCATGTACCATATCTTGGGCTATAAGAATCTGATCAGAGATGTCCCTACCCTTAACAAAACCAGTTTGTTCTTCAGAAATGATTTTAGGCAACACTCTGACCAATCTATTAGCCAGAACTTTAGTACAAATTTTTTTTGAGAAATTTGATAAACATATAGGCCTGAATTCTGAGAAGGTAGATGGAGTTTCTGTTTTTGGAATTAAGGTAATGAATGAACTGGAGAAACCTTTAGGGAGAGGCACCCCTATAAAAAATTCCTGGATAGCTTTAACAACATCACTCCCTACAATATGTCAGCACTTTTTGTAAAATTTTCCAGAGAAACCATCAAGTCCAGAAGCCCCATTTTGATTAAGTTCCCAAACTGCATCCTTAACTTCCTCTTCAGTAGGAATAGAACAAAGATAATCATTATCCTCTTTGTTAATGATGTGAGGAATGCTGTTGAAAATTTCATTTTCAGTGGTGACTGGCTCTGATGCATAAAGGTTAGAGAAAAAGTCTACAGCAGCTGTACCAATCTCAGGTGAGTCATAAATGTCTTTCCCTGCACTGTCTTTAATCAACTGAATCATTTGTCTTTTCCTTCTTATCTTCACAAAAGAGTGGAAATAATGAGTATTGCTATCCCCTTCTTTAAGCCATTTAACATGAGCCTTTTGTTTCCAAAACTTCCTTTCAATATAGTATATATACTACGTAAGTTTGGTTTTTCGGGCCGGTCGGGTAGCAAAATTGGTAACCCTACCCGCTACCTGCTTAAGTCTTGGGTTGCAAGAATCAGATTGGGTTTGGGTATTTCGGGTCGGGTTTTCTGACCCCAACAAAAAAATCGGATATATCCGATCGGGTCAATCGGGTAGGGTTGGGTTTGCTCTCCCCTAGCTGTAGTCCTCCTAGGGGTCAGTCTTTCTTTCGTTGGGCTTGATGGGTTGCCCTCAGTACTTTCCCGGAATCTGGGCCGCCAATACCCTTGGGGTAAATGGCGTCCTGGTCCGGAGTTGGATGACGGGTTCCCCGGAGCCTTCAGCCATCTTCTTCTGCATGTCCTCCATTTTGGCCAGCATGGCGGCGTATTTGGGGTCCGCCTGTGAGGCGGAAGCTGTAGTGTGCGCTTGGCGGGCCTCCATTTCATCAAGGCGGCGCTGGAGGGCCTCAATAATTTCATCCCTGTGATCCTTCGGGAGGGCCTCCGCCCCTTACGATCGGGCATGGGCCGAGTGGGCCTGATTGATTTGGTGCCTGATGTCGCTGGCATGGAGTGGTGCTTTGCCTTTGTCCCGAGGGAGAACGCCTCTCATCTGCCCTCGAAACGGATCCTCCACTTTCCTGGGGCCTTTGGAACGCCCTATCACCGAGGAGGTCTTGGACCCCTCGGCGGTCTGACACTCCTCCAAGCCTGTCGAGGGCGGAGGTTCGGGGCCTTTCTTTGTTTGTATTGTGGCGGTCCCGGGACTGGACTTCCTGGGAGGTAGTGTCCTGAGCTACGACCCCTTCGTCGTTCCCCAACCGAAGGATGGGTTTCACGACGGGGGCGGTGGTGGAGGCGGAACGACGTTCTCCCCGACCTGCGGCTGAAGTGGTACCAGAGTGCTGAAGGCACCCGGATTCTTGGTGAGTGTCTAGATGAAGGCGGAGAACGCCGACTGTACGTCAATAGTGAGGACCGGAGGGCTCACTTGGTTCTCGCTCCGGTCCTTCCTTCGAGTCTCGATGCCGAGGTAGGCATTGGGAGCATTTTGCTGGAGCTGAAGGTGCAGGTCGACAACAAGCTGTTCCAACCCAGCGATGACCCCTCCCTCGGGTGCCTCGTTGGAGGCTCCGGGGGCATTGACTTCAGTGAGGGCCATGTTGTTGTCCTCAAGGGTCTTGGACAGAGCATGAGTTCTTCCCATTTTCGTTGGTGTTTTGTGTTTGGTGAAGGGGAGGGTTTCTTACTTGATTGTTCGACCTCTCAATGAGAGCACCAAATGATGCATAGTGTACCCAGGGGGTAGCTTATCCAAGGGGTTATTGCGGGGAATACCAAGAGAGAAGTCAGAGCAATGGTAAGAGAGATAGTGAGTATTCGTTATGTGAACTTGTGATGATTTACAATGGAGAAATGGGCTCCTATTTATAGCAGCAATAAATTCTAGACAGAGACACGTGTCAAGCATCCGACGGCCGAGGGTCACCTCAATCGGGGTGGCACCGGCATTTGCATGTGGCCGCATTAAATGTGGCGGTTGGATGTGACGTTGTACTTGGTACGGTGATTCAGATGCAAGTGGAGAGGATATTCTGTCGAGGAGGATGCCTTCGGCTGTAGATGACAAGCAGGAGGCTCTTCGTACCGGGGGCCTCCTAGTACTGAGGGCTCCCAGTGTCGAAGGCTCGGTTTTCAAGCCTTGTTCTCCTGTGATGTTTTTGAGCTCGATTCTATCAACGGTAGCCTTCGGCCATGGGACCGAGGGCACCTCTCTTGCTTGTTATGGGCTGGTCAGAGATTTATTTTGCTGGGCTTGGCCCGTTTGAGCCTGTTGGGCTTGATTGCAGGAGTGGAAGTATGAGGACCGGGGGTCCCTGGGCCATATACTCCATCAATAATAATAATTCAATTTCACTACAGGTTGACTGGTTGAGCATGTTACTCCCTCCGTCCCATATTTAACTCCGGTTTTGACCGGGCACGGGTTTTAAGATAGTGAGATTTGTGTGGTGGAGAGTTATGCAGAGGAGAGAGAAATGTGTAAGAATGGTTGTGAACCACATATTCTTTACCAAAAAGGGGAAAAGGAGATAAATTTGGGACGGACCGAAAAGGAAAGAATGAAGATAAGTCCGGGACGGAGGGAGTATTATTTTCTATTCATTTCATCACTTATTAAATTAATTGATAACTTATAAACAAAATTATTAAACTAATTGATAACTTACAAACAAAATTAACCAATTACCAGATTAAATGACAGCAAAATCACATTCTCCTATGACTCATGACTGTATTACCGATTATTGCCTATTGGAGTTTGCTATCTTCGAACCGGAGTAAAATCATACACTATGTATTTTAATAAATTACAAAATTACAGTGTATTTTAATAAATTACAGTATTTTATTAAATCATATACTATTACCCCAAAATATAGTAAAATATCTGAAATCCGCAGATTCGAACGTACGTTACAGAGAGTGCGATGACCAACAGAGCAAGGGCGTCCACTAGTCCAGGCGTCCAGCGCCCAAATTTCTCCAAGTTGAAAGAGATGGACTGCGGTCTCACCGGTGGGCGATTGTGGTATGCGAGACTGCGACTCTGCGTCTGCGGCCTGCGGCGTTCTCCCGTCTTCGGTCTTCCCCAGTTGGGCAGTCCCCGTTCAAATGTTAGGTCACACACTCACGCGGTATAAGCCCCTGCGCACATACGGAGTATACTGTATAAGCCCCTGCGCACAAAACTTCTTTGGGCCAATTTCTAATTGGGCCTAATATTATTTAAGGAGTACAGTTTGCATCTTTAGTTTTTACTCCCAGCAAGGCTTCACAATTAATTGGGTGGGGGGGGGGGGGGATTCTAATATTAGTATTTTTATTAAAAAATGGGGGGTGGAAATGCCCCCCTTACCCTTGACAGTAGTTCCGCCCCTGCCTATAAATTCTCAGGACCGGCCCTATGTAAAGAGTTTACGTGTAATATAAATATAGGTTACACACATGGTCAAACATTGTATTTCTATTTTACATGAAATCTATTTTACGGTCCTAAACTTTACCTGCACTCACTTTGCATGTGAAGTTTTAATACTCCCTCCGGTCCCTATTAAAGTTCTCAGTTTGACTTCAAACAGATTAAGAAAATAAATTTGACTTTACTGTGGAGTTCACTGTTTGGCACTGTTTGGACACTGTTTGACACTATTTGGCACTGTTTTGCACTGTTTTGTTTCCTAAAATGGAAGTGTGAACTTAAATAAGGGACATCCCAAAAAGGAAAGTGAGAACTTTAATACGGACCGGAGGGAGTATATAAAAACCGACTATTAAGGTTATACGTACTATGGAATTGGCCGGATACGTTTAGCCATTCCTTATAGGGTTAATTATCAAAATAGGACTAAAAGTCACCCACTTTGCACAAATAGGACCAAAAACTAAATTATGTTTTCATAGGACTAATTATGTGTCTTGGACAAATATACCCTTCTAGTTATTGAAATGTTTTAATTCATAATAAAATAATAAAAAATAATAACAAATTGTAAAAATACTAAAAAACTAATGAAAATATTTCGATAATGATAATTAATTAATTTATTTTTAAAAAAAATAAAAAAAATAAAAAATAATAAAAATAAAAAAACTCAAAAAAATTAAATAAAATTCACCGCCGCCTCTGCCGCGTCTGCACCACCACCTCTAGTCACCGGGAAAAAAATGCCAAGTTCATTACGAATGCCATATTTATGGCAGAAAACAATGAAAATGTTGGCATTCTCAAAGAGAAATATGTCATGTTTTTGGCATTTTCAGAAAAAAATGGCAGTTTTTAGGAAAAATGGCATCTTTTTCACCGTCCTGAGATGGTGGTGCAGGGAGGTAGTACAGGCGGTGGGAAAGGCATCCATATTTTTTTTAATTTTTGTATGGAGTTTTACTATTCTTTTATTAATTTTTAAAAAAATAAAAAAATTAAAAAAAAAAATTTAATTTTTTATTTTATAAATATTTATAAAATTTTTTATTATTTTTCTACGAATTTTTGAATTTTTTTCGAATTTATTATGAATTAAACATTTAATTAACTCATATTTAAAGGAAGGGTAAGAATGGAAGAAAAAAATAGGTATGTTTCCAATAGGACTAATTTGGTCCTATTTTGAAAAGAAAAACATAGTAAGTCCTATTTTGAGTTTTTGCCATAATTTTAGTCCTATTTTGAGTAATTTCTATTCCTTATATGGAATTAGACACGTTTAGCAATTCCGTATATGATGATAACAAGATGTTTTAAGGTATCTTTGACGTATTGTTTGAATCAAGGTTTGTTTTTTCTTAAGAATGAGTCCAAAATTATACTTACTTGATAACTGCGTATTTGTTTGTCCCATTTGGTACACAATAATATATTGTTTTTATAACATAATAATAATTACTTATAAGGGCATCTCCTTAGTTTTACGCTATTTCAAATAAAGGCAAATATTTGAACAAAGAATTCATTCTTTTCTTTTCAACACAATAAAGGCAACTATTGTTCATTTACGAGTAACAATGCTGCACAATCATCAAGAATATAAATATTTTTTTAGTTATATAATTCAAATTTAATACTTGGTGTTCATTAAAAATAAACTTGTTATTTAATTTCTTAATATACTTCCATAAAAGTGAGTCATTAGTAATTAAGTACCAAGTACGACATTAAAATTTAAGAATATTCCCTTTCAAATAACCTTAATTATTGAAGCTTCATAGACTTATATATTGTGATGGAGGTAGAACATACCATCACATGCTACATCCATCAAATTAGACATTAAAGCGTTTACTCTGACTCAGACCAATCGAAATTCTCAAAACTATCTATAGTTGCTCTTACACTCGTCAATATATATGGTGATCATCAACAAAATATCCTTTCCTACCGGTACTTGTGATTTACCTGAGGTAAATATGAGATGTTTTTTTTTATTTTAGTGACTAATGTAAACATGCAAGACTTGTCATCATGAAAATATTAAATACTTTTAGAGCTAATGTTATCGGTACTACGTAAAAGATAGAGATACAAGTATACAACTAACATGAATTAGTCATTTATATAACATCTAAGTGTAGTTTTAGGTCTCAAATGTTGTAGGCAAGCAATGAGGTAATCAAAACTCAGAAGGATCAATTGGTATAGTATGAGTTGTCTGGTATAAGAATATTTTTGAAAAAAAAATTCACAACAAATTTATTACACATTTTGCTATACATAAATTACAGAAATTAAAGTTAAATAATTTAAAAGCATTGTATGGGTGGACGTGTTTAGAAATTAGAACTCTAGGATTGTGGTTTGTTTTCCAACAACTAAACATGGTACTTTCAACACAATTTGTCTGAAAACAAATCACATAATTCTATGGCTAGCTAAATGGCTAAGTGTGTCCAACTCCATAGGATACTTTTAGAGGTGAGTTCAGTTTTTCAATTATTAGATTCTGACCCAAAATAAAATACGAAAGCAAAGTACAAAGTTTACTTTGGAATAATTTTAGTATTCAATCATGAGATATGTATATGTCCTATGAGGTAAACTACTACACTTTGAGATGAATATTTAGTTATTCTCAATATAAAAAAAATGTAAAATTTATATATCTCATTGTAAAAATTCAATGCTGATACATATCAAAATTTAAATGTTACAAAGTAAATATATAGAAGAGTTTTACCCAAATAGGTGTAGGGGTGGGTTCGGTTTTGACCTAAAACCAAATATAGAACCAAAGTAAAAAGTTCGGTTCGGTTTTACACTGCAAAATTTGGAACCACAGTTTGATTGGTTCAGTTTGTTTCAGTTCGATTTCAGTTTTTTCGGTTTTTATCAAAAAATTATCATTTGATTTAAAATTGATATAATAGTTAGAGGGATCAAACATACTTTTGCACTATTTACACACCGGTAAAAACATATCATCATCATGCAACAAATTGCAACATACATGCTAATTACGTCGTAGATCAATATAGCTACATTATTATAGGCAATGAATGTGTATACTAAATAAATTTATAAACTAACTAAACATAACACAAAGATTATTTCTCTAGTACAAGAAAACCAAAGACTATTGATGATATTAGGATTAATCCTAACATAAATTTCATATTTTAATTAGTTCGTTTTGTTCGGTTCGGTTCGGTTTTGTAGGGTAAAAGCCAAAACCGAACCAAACAACTACGATTTGGTTTGATTTTTTCCATTCAGTTTCGGATTTTTAGCGGTTCAGTTTTATTTGGTTGCGGTTCGATTTAATTTGATTCGGTTTTCAGACCCATCCCTGAATAGGGGTACTCTCCAATTTTATTTCTCAATTAATGGTAGTTCTAAAGTACTTATTTCCCCAAAAAAGAACTTTCCTTTGTCATATAGCTGTCATGTCACCACAATGACCACGACCATCTATTCCTTATCAAGAATGGTCACATATATATCCCATCAACTGTGATGAGGGGTTACTAAGTTAAAATGCACATGCCCCCTGCAAGTACCGGGGACAAAATCTCACTCTCTATCTGTCAAATTGGGATTATAGTCCAATTTACATCCTTCCAACGTACCGTCCGGTCGGGGTTGGGAGCCCTCAGGGATGGGGTGTCATCCTTTTTTTTAATCAAGAATGGTCACATATTTCACATCATTTATTGGTTCTTTCATATCATCAAATTTAAATGTGCTAAAAAATGTTTTAAAAAATTGGGCTTAACTCATGTTTACTCGTTTCTTTCAAAATGCATTACATCTTCCATAAATAATTATAAAATAAAATAACGACATAATTTCATATGCTCAATTAAAAATAGATACCTAATTAAAAATATACTAAAAACTTAATTTGAGACAAATAATTCACCCCCACTTAAAATAATTCAAAACTAAATTAAAATAAATAAATAAATGTCATGCTATTCCCTAGCTAACATCAAATTAATATAAAAAAATAGTATTGATGCCAATAAAGTGTAAATTTATTTATTTATTTATGTATTTATTATATATTTATATATAAATTTAATTATTTATTTGACTACATACTCCATATTTTTGCAATATTGAGTTTTCCTTTCCATCTTCATAAAGCTAATGTGTGGATCCCATTAATTCAAAACCTTATGATGTATGAGGTGCGAAGATTACTTTTTCATAATGAATGCAGATCACACGGTTTTTTGGATATGTAGTTCAAAGTTCCAATTTTCCCAAAACCCTTCAAATAAAAATACCAGGGTTGACTACTTTAACAAAATATATATACACAATGTGCCGTTTACATTAAGAAATAGCAAAAATATAACCTATAAGTTTCAAAAGACAAAAATATGATCATTTTTTAATTTGACAAAAAAGTGACATAATCCCTTCTCAGGGTCGTGCTGTGCGTGAGGCAGATGAGGGACTTGCCTCAAGGCCCAAAAAATGTTAAAATTTTAGTGTCCAAAATTTTAGATATTTCTTTAGTATATACGGAGTATATGTATTAAATTTACATATTGGGCTTCCTTTGACCTATGCCAAACCTTTGTCCCCTACTTAAAAAAGGAAAACCCCCAAATCCCCCAATTATCTTTGTTCGGCCAGTTTAGAAACGGAATAGCCATCAGTGCACAAATGGAAGAAAAAGAAGAAGGGTCTTAAGGCGATTTGCGATTCCCTTGTTCCGGCCTTAGACGAATCGATCAACAACAGGGTCTTAGCTAAGGTTAATTTGTGATTCCCTTGTTCCGGTCTACAGACATAATCGATCAACATCAAGGATTTTATCTTATTATGTGATTCTGATTAAGTTGCTATGTGAATATGTGATTATGTGTGTTCTGATTTTTTGTGTTAGAAACTTGAGATTTGAGAATTGAGAATTGGTTAGTGAAGAATCGATTTGATTATTAATCAATAATCATATGGTCCGTATCAAATAACTAATAAGTTTAGACTTTTATGATTTTACTTCATTTATGTGTTTAGCTTTCAAACTAGTAAAGTCATTTATTATTGTGTAAATGATCTAATTTAACCCACCACAGAGGTTTTGGTTGAATTTGAAGTGAATATCTAGAATTAAAAACTTATTTTACTCAACAATATTTCATTTTTTGGATATTTAAATTTAAATTTTTACACTTGCATTGACTCAATGAATCATGTTTTTATGATGTTTAATCTTCAATTTCAAAGAAAATTATAGTAAAAAAATATAATGCATATGGCCTTTTATGAAGTTTGACTCAGGCTCGGGTTTTGGTAGGATCGGCACTGCCCCTTCTTATAACCTTCTGGAAAAGAAATGTCCGACCTTCCTTCTCTCCTCATCGCCTGACCACTTCCTCGCATCATCTCATCCCCGGCGGCTATCAACAAGCTCCTCGCATCAGGTCATTAGCGGCAGAAACGACAGAACCACAGTGATGGCTGGATCTTCGGAGACAGTACCTCTCACACCTTCGGCACCGATCGCGACTGTGAGGCGCAGATACATAGAAGATGGTGCAATCATGTGACGGCGATGACCCCTACCTCGGCGAAAGTGACAGATCTGCGCCGATGCTGAAACTCGTCTCTTCCTCTTCTCCGCTCTTCTCGCCCGCAACCCATTCAATGCCCTCCCAAGCCGACAACAAAGACCACTTGGAGCTCAAGGAGTGTCGTGTCGCCGCCGTTCAACTAGACGGCTATATTTCCATATCTGAAATCTTTTATTTTTGGATAGGGTCTGATCCGATAAGATAGGGCGGTGGTGGGGAAGTGGTTGGCCGATTGCAGGGGATAGAGTATGTATATCTTACAACCGGCTGTACGGTGAGCACCGTACAGGCTCACCGTATAGCCCGGTTAAACTTGTAATTCCCATCAACTTTCAGCCCTTTAATCCTTTGGTCTTATCCTCTTTCCCCTTAATTGACCGTTTCCTGCATCTTGCTTCCACCCAAACCTCCTTCTTCTTTATTTCTTTTTTCTTTTTATATTTATAATTCTTAAACTACATTGAGTATCTAAAATTGCATCCTGTGAATTTTAAAAATTTAATATGAGATACAATTTGTTTAAAAAATCCATCTACCTGTTTCATTAGTAATACTTCAATTTTTCTAAACTGACTCATTTTATAGATGCGCATCGATTGTTCTTTGAAAAAATTGAAAGGGAACGTTAATATATTTTTTGACAGATCGAGTATTTTATTGATATATTGTTGAACTTGTATAAAATATTGATATATGTGTACTTTCTTCATAATATTTTGTTATGATAATTAAACTTTTCTAACTTTATGCTATGCTTACAACTTTAGCAAATTTTATATGGTTTTTGTTATGCATTGAATTTGATGTTTAAAGAACTTGTAAAACTGTTGAGATATACTTTTCCACTGATTCCATTTTTCTATTAAAAATATAGTACTCATAGCTAATTTTATTAATTTAAAGTGTAATGTGTTTAATTGTTACATGTGCAATATTGGAATGCGTTTTTTGTTACACCAAAATGAGTTAATGAGTAAAATAAATGTGCGTTAATGTAATATTATATTATAAAATAAACATAACAAAGTTTTTAATTCTAGAACAAGGATTTAATAAGATTGTTACATTTCTTATGGCTAAATCTATTTAGCAAATCAAAGTAATTATATTAAGTTGGCTTTTGATGAATATATTTCATTTGTGGATTGTAAAAATGAGTTTTATGCTATACGTAAAAGTATAATGTTTATAAGAAATGAGAATTAGTATGAGCATCAGACTTATTATGGTGAGTATTATGAAGGTAACATTGAGCATCGTGATCTTTGCTTTTAAAACGTCTAATTCACTTGTTTTTCTTATTTTTTCTATTATAAAAATCCAAATTATATCTATAATCATCCCCTAAAAATT